GCGGGGTCTTAATTATTTTTACAAGTTGATAAATCAATTTAGCGAAAATGAAGGCTATTAAAAAGTATTAAACGGCATTTCCAAGGTATTACATTTTGTAGCTTGTTTTCAATAAGTATATAAATTGTCCAAAGAGGTTGTATTCTACAGTCTGCCTGAATGTAATCATTGCGTAGGTGTGTAGTGTGATTCTGTGTACCGTAATTTTCGGACTATAAGGCGCACCTGAATATAAGCCGCAGCAGCTAAATTGAACGATGTGTACATATATAAGCCGCACGCGACTATAAGCCGCAGGTGTTTTAATGTTTAATTACCATATGTAAGGGTTCGTGCACAGAGGGGATTGTCGGGAAAGAGATGGCTGTTTGAGGAAGCTCCCATTTATTAACATTTCAACAAACAAGTTGCATATTTGCATAACGTATTCAATTGTTACCATTTAGTGCAATAGTAGCTACAGAACATGTACTGTGCTGTGTAAACTGTACTGTATCACATAGCGTTTCAGACACACAAACTTTTCAACTTTCAAACTTAAACGTGCGCTCCCAGCCTGAGACTGCCAAGGCACACNCTGCTGTAGATCACTGCCGGTACGTGCGCTGGGAGCGCACCGTTTAAGTTTGAAAGTTGAAAAGTTTGTGTGTCTGAAACGCTATGTGATACAGTACAGTTTACACAGCACAGTACATGTTCTGTAGCTACTATTGCACTAAATGGTAACACTTGAATACGTTATGCAAATATGCAACTTGTTTGTTGAAATGTTAATAAATGGGAGCTTCCTCAAACAGCCATCTCTTTCCCGACAATCCCCTCTGTGCACGAACCCTTACATATGGTAATTCAACATTAAAACACCTGCGGCTTATAGTCCAGTGCGGCTTATATATGTACACATCATTCAATTTAGCTGCTGCGGCTTATATTCAGGTGCGCCTTATAGTCCGAAAATTACGGTAGTTTATTTATGGCATCCCGTTTGATTTGACGTCATCTGAACAGGACATCGCACACTCACCGCTTGATAGCGCGCAAAGCTCCGTTTACGCCGGTTGTTAAACAACATCGTTATGGGGAAATGCAAGTTTGCATCCAAATGGTTGGAAGATAAGGAGGAAGGACAATCAATACTGTATATAGTCAATGTGAGGTAAAGTGTGTCGCCAAGGTAACCGGTTAGAACTCAAAGTGGCGATGAGGTCTTAAAATGTATGGAAAGGGTCTTAAAAGGTATTACATTTGACTTCAGGATTCCTGCGTATACCCTGAGCTACTCTCAGACGAAAAATAGTTACAAGCCGAATGGCCATGCTTTGTAGTTCTTCACTTTTGCCATTTTTCAAACACACCCTTTTATGCCATGTTCTCCCTCTCAATAATCTTCAACATTCGTTCATTCTGATTTCCCTAGACACACCGATGACCCAGCACACACTGCTCTGTTCCCTAAATCCCGTCCTGTTTTATCTGTTTTTCCCCGTTCCAGATCCAGGTGATCAGCTTTGTCACAGAGCAGAACTGGGACTCGCTGGAGGTGTTTGACGGAGGAGACAACAGCGACACCATGCTTGGCAGCTTCTCAGGTATTGCTGTATTTGTGTTTGCATTTCATTTTCTTGCATATGTTAAATTGTGATTTCAATGTTTTGTCCCACCTTAAGCCTTCACATGAAACACATTTTTTAAACCTCTTATCTGTACCTGCCAAAAGCATATTTGAAGCAACATAAACACAACCTAATTAGTTTTCACAGAGCAGCATACGACCTGGAACACATACTGTATTTGTTAACCAACATGTTTAAATATCTGTGCCTCGTTTGGCACGTAGCTTACATAAATGCAGAGTGGATTAAGGCTTCCGGGGGAAAATGTGTAAAGTTAAAACATTTGAACTGGTTAAGCCTCACGTGGAAGAGTCTTGCTACATTGGCCTTTTCTTTGTGTAAAGTTAAAGAAAACATTTGTTTCTCTGTGACGCTCCTCTCATAGTGAGGATGCAGCAACCGGGAATTCTCTTTGTTTGTGCTTGGAACCTGACCAAAAGTAATTGTTAGATGTGTACCCTGAAGTAAACAGATGAAAGAGGAATTCCAGGCGAACAAATATGAGTTATTAAACGACACATTTTTTCATACCGTGTCTGAAGAACATGGGATTTTATTGAGCAGGTTTTCATTTCTTCCGCTGAATACACATATTGGAAGAAACAAATGACTCGTTAAAGCGAGTAAATTCAGATATATTGCATTCACCAAATACCACCTATGTACCATTATTCATGCATGCGTTTATGCTGTATTCACACACACGCACGCACACACATCACATACCCTTAAGTCTGCGAATGTAAAAGGAACAAGCTTGTCCTGCTGTTTGCCAGTAGCTTATACAGTTAGTTATGGTCAGCCGAGGCGGGAGAGAACATTTCTTAACTAAACTATTAATCTTCTCCCCAAGGCACCACGGTACCTGCGCTCCTCAACAGCACCTCCAACCAACTCTACCTCCACTTTTTCTCTGATATCAGTGTGTCTGCAGCTGGGTTTAGGCTGGAATACAAAAGTAAGTAAAGAAACTATTCGTACCACTTGATGTAAAGTAGCAACTCTCTGAGGAGGAATATATTAAATGGAGTACATTTCTTCTAAAAACTTGCTGGTTGTCTCGCTTCCCATGGCAAGAAGTCTCTCCTGCATTTAGTATCGTTTAGCATTTCTACTCCTGTTCTTGTTTCTGCATAATTATTAATTTGCCTTCTTGTATTTCTTAGCGGTGTCTCTGACCAGCTGCCCAGAGCCTTTGGTTCCTATGAATGGCATCAAGGTTGGGGAGCGTCTCCAGATGAACAATGTGGTCTCTTTCCAGTGTGAACCTGGGTATACTCTACAGGTAACAGCACCTAGCTTCAGATATGGTTCAGTTTTAGAGTTTTCAGTTTTAATTTGCAAAAACAAACTTAAAGTACGTAAGAACAACTTTCTTCTTAAAGAAAGTGACTAAATTAAACAATACACAAAAAGGTAAACTGGAGCACATCTCCTAACAATTCACCAAAACACAGGCCTCACACTGTGGCCGTTTCTCAATCGCGAGGATACTGGCTTGGTAGTTGCGTACTTCCAAGTCACTTCCTTCAGAAACGAAGCAAGTATACTTCCAAGCCACGGCTTCGGAAAACGAAGAAGAATGGAACATGCTAACAAGTGNCAACCTTTCAACTTTTCAACACACACAGACTTTGCGATAAACAACTATGTCATGTCACCAATGTGTCTGTACGCACTGTACAAGACATCCGATGATAACGTATTTACGATTGTGAACTTATGCAATACGTTTTATACGTCGAACAAACAACTTTCAATTATTTACCCTCGAAGCGCCGCTTTGTCGGTAGAGACAGCGGCCTGTCTAGGCGGAAGACACGTGCCTTGGCGCAATGTATACCATAATTTGTAAATATTTGTGGACGCCGAATATCCAGGCTACACGCCGACATAGTAATACATGTGTATGCGCTGGGAGCGCACCGTTTAAGTTTGAAAGTTGAAAAGTTTGTGTGTCTGAAACGCTATGTGATACAGTACAGTTTACACAGCACATGTTCTGTAGCTACTATTGCACTAGATGCTAACACTTGAATACGTTATGCAAATATGCAACTTGTTTGTTGAAATGTTAATAAATGGGAGCTTCCTCAAACAGCCCTCTCTTTCCCGACAATCCCCTCTGTGCACGAACCCTTACATATGGTAATTAAACATTAAAACACCTGCGGCTTATAGTCCAGTGCGGCTTATCTATGTACACATCATTCAATTTAGCTGCTGCGGCTTATATTCAGGTGCGCCTTATAGTCCGAAAATTACGGTAGTTATTTGAGGTATGATGAAGGAGCGTTCCCGTGGATGCATTGATGGGTC